CTTTTGCACATGCGTGAACTATTAACGTGATTATTAGCGATTACGATTCCATAATAATAATTAGAACAGAAGCACCACCGATTCTGATGCTAATAACAGTGTTAAACGTAGCGTCTCTCTCAACGTTCAGGGAAATTTTCTAGCCATTCTTCGATGATTGTTAGAAATCTTGATATAATTCAATTTTTCACTAAAATTTCTTTAAAACAGGATCTATATTTGAATCCGCGAGCTACTGTTACTTTTGTTATATCTCTTCAACTTAATTTTTCAGAGTCTCGAATTTTTAATCGCGTCAACGGTGCAAAAACGCAATTTGAAATAGAGGGATTGTTGTATAAAAAGAAAAACTCGGAACACGCCGCGTGTACGGCGATCTTTATTCCCCGAGCAAATCCGACGATATCGTAAACCGCTTGGAACGAAACAGCGGAATATGCTTTCCGCTTCGACGGCCGCGCGCGACAGAGGTAGACGAGGCGAGGAGGACGGTAAAAATACAAGCCGGATAGGAAAGTTCGATTCGCATGTGCTGATCGTTCGAAAAACTTGGTTGTCGATCCGCAACTTACCATTCACCCCGCCAATCTTTTCCACCACTTTTCTCGTGCTTCCTCTCTTGCTTCCGACAGTCCTCAAGTTTCTATGGTCGTTTCGCGGAATGTATCGCGTCACCGAAGATGGAAGAAACTTGTCGTTTGCGCAGAGCTTCCGCTGCTCCGAAAAATCGAACTATTCGTACTCTAGTCTATTCGAAAACTATGGATTTTAAAAAGAAATGTTTTACACAAAAATCACACAAGACATGATGTGTTCAATTTATCGGTTGTGTCGTTTTGGTCTTGAATCACTTTGTAAAAGTGCCATGCAAAAGCCATCTTGAATTTTAGTACTTGTAGTATTAAAACATCTTTTTTTTAAATCCATAATTTTTGAAATACCAATTTTTGAAATTCCGTTATTTTTTCCCTCCCTTATATATTCTATTATGCACGAGGCGAAGAGAGATCGATATCATACATTGTGGCTCTTGGATTTTCCATCTATCTCGCCTGAAACTCCGTCTATATAATTGGCCAATATCGCTAATGATAACGTCTCATTACGTAGTCGAAGTGTACCACCGCATCTCTAAGAGCGTCTCGGATGCACCCGCGTTGCTCGCGATCGTCCGACTACGTCCATCGATTCGTATCACTTACGGAGCCGTCTGACGTCTGACTGTACGATCGACTCGTATCACTTATCCCGATCCGCGATCAGTACGACTCAGGGCGACTCGCAGGATCGATCGCGTCTCAAGATAGAGCATGCTTCGCGGAGGAGGATAGGTCGCGAATATGCTCGGTTCTTTTATTATTTATCCGTCCTCTCGCGATGGTTCTCGAGGAGTGCGGAAAATTGCCGTCGCGGCCTCACCGATTTATTTAATGGTCCGCATCCGTTCCACCGCGTAAGCGAATTGTCAGATCCGGGGAGATCCCCGAAGCGTGCCGAATCACTTCCGTTCTCTGTCCTTGAGAAGCTGTCCGTTATGAAAAATGAACGCTCGATCGGCGGATGTAAAACGGGAAGGGAAGAGAAGGATTAATTTTAAGCGGACGGGAATTGAATGTATCGTGCAAATGATACGTGATCTTACGATTACAAAACTCTCTGCGCATTTATGACGAAGGGGAGTGACGGAAGCTCGGAAGATTAAAAATCGCTCGAAAATCATCGCGATCATTCTAGACGGGCTCTATCTCTCTTGCGTAATCATGATTATCATTGTCAAAGGTTTCGCAAATCAATCGCATTGCATTACTCACTTTGTTCCAAGCCAATGTCCATCTTGTCCCGTCCTTCGAGAATCGCGAGCAACATCTATCTCGGTGTAAGGGAGGTTCACGCCGGAATCTTAAGTCGTTATCAAATTGTCGCGATAAATTCGCCAGGCGACGGCACTGGGAAGCGTAAGCGCGACGCGCCGCGAATCCTTCATCGTGTCCTCGATCCGAGGGAATCTCCGCTGATCGTTACACCAAATCAGATCGTTCCAGACGTCGTTTCCCGGGGGGGGGGAGGCTCTATCGAACTGCGATTCTATGGACAACGAGCACCTTTGTCGCTCGCGAGTACTCCCTCCAGTCCGAAATCCAGCACCTTTAGCAGCAGCCAAAGTCCAGCGAACATCTCGCAAAATTGTTGACCCTCCTCACGTTTCGAAACAACCTCGTGTAGACACTCAGACGAACTCCAACTCCGAGAGCTGGCGCGAATATCGAGCTGACGGTGGAGCTGATAGAGAGGCTCGATTCTCTCGGGAATGACGGGAAACGTCGACGAGATCCTCCTCTCCGGAGGAGAGATCGCGGTCGGAGAAAGAGACAGAAAGAGAGAAACGATCGGAGCGGGAACGCGGAGCGACGACAGCGAGTTCGCGAGAAATGTACCTCGCCGGCTTATACGTACGGACGCACCCCCGTGGCCGGCGACAGGGCGCAGGATCGTGCCGGGGGTGGCTGTGACGCATGCGCGGTCCAGGAACCGCATGCGGGAATGCATACCCGATCTGGTCTTTCCCTCTCCTCTCGTCCTCTTTTCTTTCTCTCTCTCTCTCTCTCTCTCTCTCTTTCTCTCTCTCTTCTTACTTTCCTATAAATGTTTTCTTCGCTTTTATTACGCGCGCACGGATGCACTTTTTATTCCCGTTCCTGGACTACATTAATGACGACGAGAATTCGCATTGGCTTTGCCAATCCGAGGAAACTCGAATCCGCGGTTGCGGTTTCTCCCATGTCGCCGATAAATGTCTTTCTTTCTCTCGGTGTGTTCTTCTTGGCTTTATCTCTCCTTTTCTGTCTTTCTTTCGCGTATCTTACTCTCCTCGCGAGTCTTCTCGTCGCGCGACTCGAGGTGACGCCGCCTGAAGTGCGCTCGTCAAACACAAGAACAGAATGAGTGGGTTGGCGTCATCACGCGAGACTTATCCGGTTTTCAGGGAGCTACATTAACACCTTGTTCGCCATCTTTTATTGCGTAATTCGAAGATACGATGAAGGAAAAGGTACAAAAAAAATTTCATCTTTAGGCCTCTTAAATAGGATATACTCTCTATTTTTAGAGCTTAAAAACAAATGATATATTAAGATATCTTCTCTTCTGTTCATATTTTATTTCAACTTGGAACTGCAATTGACTAGCAGTCATTAATATTGTTTTGTATTCTCTGCTACCATCTCGTAATTTAAAATTTTCACGCTGATCGCGAATTGGAATGGGCGCGGAAAAATCCATGCTCGCTAAACGACCGGCTTTTTATCCGTTTATATATCTGATGGGTCGTATCGTACTTAACATTCGGTAATGTGTCGGAATATTTTCGACGTCCTCTCGCTGTCGACGAGGACGTCGAGTGGACGAAATCGGGACGGGGACATCTCAAATATCGATGGCACTCTATCATCTATCTCATCGATAGGTGGTGTATACTTGAGATTTTTTTTTATTCATAATCGGGCGCACGAGTACCAAGCACTTTTGCATGAACGCTTTCAGTCGTCGCTCCGCGAATAGTTTCGGATGTCGCGGATATACAAGATGTTTTAAACTATCAAGACTCGACTGGCTGACAAATAATTCTATTAACTTTTAATTTAAAAAAATCTGAATATTCTTCAAAACAATTAATTTGTGAACACGTTTGTTGAGATTTTTATGTTTGTTTTTGACTTTTATTAGAGCCAGTTGAATTCTGACTTATGTAATTCTGAAACATCCAGTATAATCGCGTTTCACCTCGCGTATATATATAGTTTTTCCCTCCCAATATATATTCCTTCCGACTTTGTGATACTCGATCATCCCCCCGGCCCATGCAATCTTCTATCCTCTGTGTTTTGCGCTTCCCGCTTTATTTAGCTTCCGTACTTTCTTAGCCGCATTCGGCTCGCGTCTCCGCCTCAAATCCCTTTCTTTTCGTTTAATTTGACGCAAAAGCGACAGTTCCGATATTGTCTGCCATGCATGTATCCCAATATATCCCGCGCACGCGGTAACGTCTGATATCCATTCTGCCCCGAAGAATGATCCGATAAACGGATGAAGAAAAAATTTCTGGCTTGCAAAATTCTTGGAAAAAGTCTAGCCGAGCTCGCTTCGATTTGTTCCGAAGATCAAGCAAACTGTATTTCGAAAAATAATGTAATTAGTAAAACGGTAAAGAGATAAAAAAAAGTAAAAACGATTTCTATTTATTTCGCAAAAATTTGTTTCGCTTTCTCTTTCTCTTTCGAAAGAGAAAACGCAGGTGCAATGCTTGCATCCCCTCGCGACACCGGATGGTTGTAGATATAAAATTTATCGTTTACGACCTTTATGTCACTGTCGTGTAGTATAGCGCTTCCACTCGATCGTTTGATCGTACTTGTTTCTCGTTTACTCTACAGCTCTTGGTATCGCGTGGGATTTCAAGGAGAAATAGGAATATCAAAGTTACATCTACATATATATATATATATATACGCACACAGAGAATATCAAAGATACACCCACACATAGCGCAAACGATTACTCTTTGCTTGCATGGATTGCGCTTCCAGCGCAAGAGTAGCCGTTCTCATCGCGAGAGATAAACGTGCGATATTTAACGACATCGTCTCGCATACAACATTCATTTCTCGTATCATTAGTTCTATCCCCGGAAGACGTTCCTTTCCACCTTCCGCTGCTTACCGCGATCGATGCATTCGAAGTACGCAGATAGAAGATTAATTACAAAGAGTAATCTCTCTTTCTCTCTCTCCGATCTCGTTTTTAAATTCTTTTTACTTTACAATTTTTCCTTTATATCTCAATTCATTTCGAATATATCGTTTAACCCATTCTTTTATGAGCATTTATCAGAAAATTAATTTTATACAAGATAAACGGAGCAATTTTTTTCATCTAAGTACAAGATTTAACGAATATAATTAATTTTGTTTTTTTACTTTCTAGGTATATATAAATCTATCGTAAAATTCTATATATTAGCATAAATTCAGTTAATATTATAATAAAATTATAATAATATAATTAATATAATAAAAATTTGTAATAATATTATATAAAATATTTACAATTTTATAATAAAAATGTTAGAATAAAATTTTATGATATATAATACTTGCTGTTATTTTTCCATAGAGATAATATATTTATGTGTTAATGTCTGATTTAGGTTAAATGCGAAATTATGATAAAACTTATTGAAATCCATCTAAAGATTTGATTCATTGTCAGAGTTTAATTATAAAATATGTCTTATTAAGATCGTCACGAATTATCGAATATGAGAGAAATATTCGCTCACACTTACCGATTATCGTGGTAGTTGAAGGATCGCGGTCTCGATAACTTCGTCATCTCTCACATCTGAAGATGTATTTGATGATGCGTATCAGAGCGCGCACCTTCGCCATTACTTCCTCTTGCATGAGATTAAAGCACATGGCAATCAACGCCATTCCTGGAAAAAGAGGATGAAAAAAAAAAAGAACGATTCAACATCCGTGAAGCACGTCGGGAAATTAGATTGGAACGCGATATTTCAAGCATCGGGGATATTATTGCGCGAATTGTTGCGCGATTCGGCCGCTCTCGTGTGGAAACGGCCGGAGCCGGTATTCGATAGCACTTGAATATCTCCGCGAAAAATCGCGCCCGTGCAATCGGGCATCGATCGAAACGAGCTTAATGCCGTGTATATACGCGACGACGGGTGCAATCGCGTTGCAGGATTTAAAAGCGGTTGATCTCTTTTAAAACGATTGTCTTTGCGCCGCGCCAATCGAAAATTCCGCGACAATCGGATTTCTAAAAAAAAAAAAAAAAAAAAAAAAAAAAAAACAAGGGCCATCTACTTTTTCTCGTCTCGCAATTTATCGATGGCTGAAATAAATGTGCGTATCAAATCGGATAACTTTGTACACTTTTAATCCTTGACGCCGGATGCTGAATCTGTTTAGTTAGGTAATGAAACTCGAGAGAAAGTCGAAAGGATTTTTTTCTTTTCCTTTGCCGACCGCAAATAATTCTGAATCGCCGAGCGTGAATGGAAAACTTACCGAGCATCAGGTACATGGAACAGAAGATGAAAGACAGGTCGAGGCCTTCTCCAGAGTAGATCTTGTCGCCCGGGACGATATCGCCGAAACCTATAGTCGACAAAGAGACGAAGCAGAAGTAAGAACCATCCAGCATGTTCCAGTCTTCCCATTCCGAAAACAGAATCGCGCCGCCCCAGATATACCTGTCCAAAAAATCAAGGGAAGTGCACGTCAGTCAGACGGCTTTCTTAGGGAATCTCTCTCGTCGAATTTACGTGACGAGTTTAATCGCGGAATGTTGGCGCAAACTGATCATCGAGCGATGTCGATACGACGTAACGTTAGGAAAAATTACACGTCGGGATTTTAACTTTATAGAATAACGATTTGAATTGGAAGGAATTCAACAATCTTAAAGTTAATAAGTTCTGTAAGTTTCTTACGAGATTAAATTAATATCTATAATAAGAGATGTCAGAAGATATTTATATTCCAATCACAAAATTAGATTTCGAGATTTAAATTCAATAAAATTTTAAATAGCAAGATACTCAACGGAGAGTTTTTACAGTTTTACATTATTTTATTCGCAATAATTAAACATTTAATTATATCGGAAAAATTTATATATATTCTGTGTTCCAATTATAAAATATCAAAATTTTATTTTAATTTTTTATTTAAAAATATCAAAATTTTATTATAATTTTTTATTTGAAAATGTTTTAAATGTAATATTTTACTTTTTTATTTTAAAATGTGGATTATATTTTAAATAGAAAAAAATTCAACAAATTTCTTTCTCTCTGATTTTAATTATTTGGAAATTGATTATTTTAAAAATAAATTCTTATAAATCTTTTCTAAAAGGTTTATCTTTCGTGTTCTATACAGATCCGTTTCTTAATTAGCGGTACGATTATCCCTCTCATTCGCCAGACTCACCCCACCATGATAGCAAGACATAGAGTTAACGGCACTGTCACGTGCTGCGGATCGTAGCTGTCGCTCTCATCGTCGCCTTCGTCGTCGCCCTCGTCACCGCCCTCGTCGTCTCTCGGCGAAGTTTCTTCTAAACTCGACGTGTCTACCTCCTCGCCGTGGGTGTTCACCATCTGCAGACATAAATCCTGTTTGAACAGCCTTTACGCGGGATATTCCAGAACTGGAGTCGAGGTCCCCCCTCATAACAAGATTTTCTTCTTACTTAATTGGACGTATCGCTTAATTCTCGTCGTAATAAACGTATCTTCGCTAGTAAAGAGACTTAAAACTTTGTCGAGACAAAATCCGTTTGAAATTAAGTCAGGAACATCGCTCGAGGACCAAACTTTGGACATTGGAACAAAACAAAAAATTCGTTTCTGTTCAATCTCTGTTCTAAATTTCGCTCAATGATTCTGGAAGACTCCGTATAAACCCCGCTGCATGATGTTGCTTAGAGTACGATCCCGGTCGTCACTCACCTGCCATCGATCTCTCTTCGCAACCGGATCATCGTTCGGCATCTCCAACGCATCGGCCGTCGACTCGTGCGGTCTTCTCCGGCACCTTCGAAAGATCGATCGACGATTAATTCAGACCGATCTTAGATTTTACGAAATAAAAGAGGAACCGCCGAGAAAGAGAAGCAGCTTTTGTCTCTTACTTGCACAGGCAGCAACGGGCGTAAATCCATTTGAAGCTTCTGGCCAGAATGTCACCAATATTGCTGAGGTAGAGGAGGAAGAGC